CTGCTGCGCGCTCACTCGCGCCCACCGAAGCAGCACGGTGCTCCGGCGGGGGCGACCGCCCGGGAGGGAGGGGGCAAAGGCCGCCATCGATTGGACGGCCGGGCGATTGCAGGGGCTGCGCCCGGGCCCGGTGGCGCGCGGACGCTGCGCAGCGGCGGCCCAGAAGAGGGCGGCCTCGGGCGGGCGGGACTGCTGCGGGCCGGGAGAGCGGCGCTTTCTTTCACGGCGCCGTCGCCGGGCGGTGAGGAGTATCCGGCCGGAATCGGCTCGGATAGGTGCGTGTGGGGACCGCGGAGTGCCCCACGCTGCCGTCTACTTGGAAGGCGTCAGCGGGGCGCATAGGTGCCGGCCGCTCACGGTACAGGGGTAAACGCCTTCCGCCTGCCAGTTTATGCCAAAAAAACCAGAAATGTCGGTAAACGCCTCAGTTTACCACGGGAATGACGGTTTGTTGCTTTGTTGTTAGATAAGCATTATGCGAGCTAGGCCATTTGCATGAGAAGACACCGGGAGTGCAACTAAGGGTTTCTCTTGAAGTAATGAGAATGTCCCTGTATATGGGTGCATGCATCTCTGCATTGAGCTAAACAGCTGTGTTTGCCGACCCAATCCGGTTGGGTTTGGTTTTCAGGAAGAGTAAAATAATGGGAAAATTGATACATACATAGTCAAAGAAAAATCACTTGTTAGTGAAATTTACTACCTAGAGGGATGCACTTGCTGTCATCATCAGAACAACAACAATTCTATGAGATCTAAATGTGCAGACAGAGAATTCATTTCATTTTGCACATCACAGTAAGTGCCACTTTCTCCTATGCAATGCTGTGAGTGGGAAAGGTTTCTGCAAATCATGCCTTTGCCAGGATTACCCTGCTGTGCCAGCCTTTTCCCTCACTCCTTCATGTCATTTGATTGAGGTTTTCACCTAGTGTGGGGAAAGGTGGCCTTGACTCCCCAAAGGGCTAGCACCTTTGGGACTTGTAGCCTGCTGCTGACATGATTCGTGTGTCCCAGCAATTACATAAGGCCATTCAAAGCCTTTCTCAATTTGTTTGCTTAAACTCTACAGAGCTAACCCCTCATGTCTCCAGCCCCAAATCAGGAAACAACCTCAACAACTCCTATCATGTGATCCTGTAGAACACAAGGGTCTGAAGTACTTTCCTGTCATATCTTCTGCTTCACCTTTCCGAGGTGTCTGCACCTCTTTCAGATTGCTGCTATAGGGCAAGCATATGCAGCTTGTATGAAGCTCCTGGCAGTACACAGATGGCAGAAAGAAATGAACAGAGCCACTATTGGCTTTATGATGTTTCATTTTTCACTCACTTCCTGGGGGGAAGTCGCTTTAAAACTACTCCCATACTGAAGGTATTACGTAAGACAGCATTGTGGCACAGACTTCCTTTTTTGTGAGCCCTCCAAAACTTTGCAGATTTAAATACTGGAGGATTTTATACTACAGGAAAAGGTGTGAAAACAGCATCAATCCGTCAGCCAAGACAATATTTCTAACTTTTTTTGCACCTAGTTTGTCTTCCACAAATAAGCAAAGAAAAGATAATTCTGCAGCTTGAAACTACTTCAGCTATTAATCTAACATGCACTCCAGACTACAGGGTATCCAGAAGTTCAGGAAGGCTGTTTCTATGCAGTATGGGTCAGAAGTCTTGCAGACATGTAACCCGACAGTTCTGGTGCATTGCACTTCATTTACTTCTGGAGCTGAGGAGTTCCAGTTTCCTGTTGGTTCTAAATCTAAATCAAGTCTTTTCATGATAATATCATTACAAGAGCTAGATCCAGGGTTTTTTTCCAAGTGTCTTTTAACTCAAGTTGGATGAGAAAAGGTGATACCTTTAGCCTGATACTTTATTAGGCTTATTTACCATATTTGGAAAATAGACAAGCTTTTGGTAGTCTACAGCAAGCCTTCTTCAGGTCTGCTTAAGGTCTTCAGGTACTTAAGATTTTCTTTCTTTAAGGTTTAAAACAACTGGTATCTTAACTCATTTTTCCAAACAGACACATACTGATGGATGGCCAGAGTTAAACTCATTGATAACTTTACATCAAACAGATCCAGGGAAAAGTTGTAACAAGTGATTTATACTTTTATTCTGTTTTAAAGTTTACAAACTTGAAATACTGCAATGATCAGAAAGCTACTGCACTCAGTATTGTAAAATTCTTTTAACTTCAGGTGAATTCAGGCCTCAGTAGTTTGAGTCAGAGCAATCACTACAAGAACATCTGACACTGATGCAAGCTCTTTTGCAGACCAGGATTGCTTGTTTCTTCCAACCTTGTTACTAATTCTGCCTAAAAACCAACACAAAATTTGAGTCCAGATTTCCATATCTCCAAATGGTCTGCCAGAATCAGTCATACGGTATGAATCTCAGCGATCTTACTGTGGCCCAGTGTTGAAAACATTCAGATATATTGTTTTGTTAAAAATTGAACAAGTTAAACCTCCACTGTGCCCAACGGATCTCTTAAAAACTGATGAGAGCTGAAGTGGTGTTTAAGGCGTTGTGTAAGCTAGACTTTGCAATGGGATGATTTTTACCCTGAATCCTTCATTATCTCTGTTTTGTCCCCCTCAGTGCTGCTGAAGTACCTGATTATGAGAAGGACGTACAGAAGAGATCTACTGCAAGTAAGACTGACAAGATGGTAGTTAGTTGAAAAAACTAACTCAGCAGGGAGTTGTGTCAGATTTTTTAAAAGGATGCCTCTCTCAACAGAAAGATGATATGCATATTTTGGAAGTGTTTTCTTTACTCCACAGGCAAATAAACATATTCACCTGCAAATTTCTTGTAGAGGAAATGCACATCCAGCTTCCTGCAGACATTAATTTGTCTTTTAAGTAGTTGAGAAAGACATGTGAAATCAACAGGACTTAAAAAATCTCATGGTTGAGTGCAACAGTACAGGTGGCGTACAAGATATTTCCACTGGCACTACATGGCTGCTGCATTTTCCCCATCTGCAGCAGTCTGCTGCATATTGCAGGGGTAGCCTAAGTTGCCATTTATGAGTTGGAGGCCAGTCCTGCTAGATGTTAACTTTCTCCTGTGGGAGTCACTGGACACAGGACTTCTGCAAGAGTCCCTGGCTTAGCATCTGGCTAAGGACTGGATCTACTGGGACTAGAGTGAATCTGTTGTCGAAGCCACCACTGGGACATTGCTAAACTCATTGAAGAATGAGAAATGCAACAGGCAGAAGATGGGACACATCTCCCAGGAAACAAACATTAGTGTTTGTAATATATGAAAATATATTCAGGTCCTCTATTCCTGCAGTAAAATAATGTTTTCCTAAGACTGTACACAGAGATCCTAGAGCTTTAAGATGGACCCTCTGGTTTCCTTCTTTGTACTCCATCCCAGCACTTAACTTGCTTTGAAGTTGCACTGTTGGTGGGCTCCCGGTTCTCAAATAGTCATTTCTATACTCTGCTGTAGCTTCCATTTGAGTTTCTGTGAGAGACTGAATTGTTATTTCGAGCTGTTTGTCGCAAAGATTGTTTGTTATGAGAGACTGGACTATCATCTCAAGCCATTGTTTGCTGTGAGGAGCCACTTATCCCAGAGATGGATTGTTTAAGCAGGGCACTCCTCTGTCCAAAAGGACAATTACCAGGCCACTGAGGCATCCAGGGGAGGAGACAGGCCGGAGCCAGCGAAGAATGTGGAGACTACCATTCTCATGGAAACTCTAGTCTTTGAGATAAGATACTGGTTTCTGGTGTTCATCACCCGAAGTGCCGTGTGATAGACAGAACCTGCAGCGCGTGAACAGTACTTATGTGCATGCATCGTTGGACTATGCCCTATAAAAAACTGTGGAGACAAGCCGTGGTGTGCACCTATCACTGAAGAATTGAAGACTGAGGACCAACGGGACGCTGCTGGATCCATGGTGGTGAGTATCCTTGCAACTCTGTCCCGACTGCTTGCTTGATTTCTGCCTTCCATTCTATCCTATCGCTACTATTTTCTACTTTTGATAATAAAAGCTTTTTTG